TAATTGTGTCTATAAAACCGGTACTCGACGAGTTAAGATGTCGATATGGACTACAAATTGAGTGAAACGTATTTTTTCATTCCAAGAATATCGAACTAGGACTATAACTGCAACTCTTCCATGCTAATATTAGAGGTAGCTGAAGCAGTTATCATCATACATAATGGTTAGATTATGTATATGTATGTACTAGAATAACATAATGAAACATTGTTCATTCATAATTTTACTTAAATATGAATGAATTTAATATCTATTCAACGCTACCAAACTAATTATAATAAAATAACCAACCTAATTATATTAAATTACTGACCAAAAATAAATTCATTCCACCGAAACCAATGGTAACGCCTCCACTATTCACACGCAATCAAAATTCCACCACAACGCCTTTGTTTAAAGTTCAAAATCGATTTGAACTTCAATCGTTTGAATTTCACACATCAAAAATTCTAGAAATACGAGGTCCACGCAACGGTGAAAATAATTAATTTCTACCAAATCCATTACTGTTGAGTGCCCCTGCATAAAACTGTTGGCTTAACAATAACACGAATCTTTAATAATCATAGTGCTGTTCGCTTTATTCATTCATTTGTTTTTAATACAGTTTTTTTAATGGAAGGGCCTTTGTGAATTATTTTTGTAGTTGTTTTTTTTTCTTTTTTGATGCGTGTTATGTTTTTTTTGTTTCGTTATGTTACAATACTTATGTTATAATATTTTTTCTTTGTAGTCTACTAGTGGTTGATTATGATGTTGCCATGATGTAACATATTAAATAAAATATAGTTTAGTACTTTTGCATAGATATTTAAAAGTATAAAACGTTATGACTGCAACACTGCTGCCGTGCAACGTGTCGCGGGTTTGATTCCCGCATGGAACAACACTTTGTGTAATCCACAAATTGTTGTTTCGGGTCTGGGTGTCATGTGTATGTGAACTTGTATGTTTGTAAATGCACCCATGACACAGGAGACAATCCTAATGTAGGGCAACGGTTTATTTAAAGAAAAAAAAAAGTAAAATTCCGTAATATTTTTACATTACTGATTGAAGAATTTTTTACAAATAATAAAGCGGTCTAAACTAAAGACAAAGTTTCAATATTAACTTTGAATTAAATAATCACACTATGACTATTGACTTTGAATTAAATAACCACAGTATGATTACTTTGATATGACTTTCACATCAAATAAATTCCTTCGACGTTTGCAATACTAACTGGGCTTCAAATGACACTTTCCTAAAAATGCCATTGAGTTCAAAAAGCCGTGACGAGAGCAACAGATTATGAGTTCGTAACGTTTTGTTAACCAATCAATCTGGCCAGCGGCAGGTGACTGCAATATCCTTGCAGCGCCAATCAATCTGCCGTACCATGTGGGCTTGCAGATCCTTTTTTAGAACATCTATTGCGAAGTTTTGATGAAACACGATATTGGTGCCTTTCGGGTTTCTGAATGGCACTTCGTATGATTTTGTTGGCTATATTTGGTCAGGTTTTAGTTTAGTTTCCACCTGATTCTAGAAAAATATTGTGTTTGTCGCTTCTCAAGTATCAGGGTGCGAGCTCGAGACCTACTAACAGCAACCAATGTGACTTTTTCCAAGTTATATGTACTTTCCAAGATTATTTAGACACCATTGGCAAACGGAGAAGGAAAACATCGTGAAGAAACTTGGACTTATAATTTCTAATTATAAGTTTGAAATCGGCGACCCGCATTGAGCAAGCGTGGTGATTAATGCTCAGACTTTTTCCGTGCCTTTGATCAGCAGTGGTCAGTTATAGGCTGTTGATGAAGATTGTTGTTTATATATGTTTGAGAGTATCAAAATGTGTGTTTTTGGAATGATCTATTTATGCTATGATTGCCTCAGAGTTTTAGTTGTTGCATTAAGTATAGTTGTAACCTCATTTCGCATATCTCTTCGAAAAATAGCGTAGAAGATTTATATAGAGGTAGAAGTTAGGCATATTTAGATATAAGACTGCCTCGTTGGCCAAGTGGTCGCAAGTACGTAGTGGGTCTCGGGGGTTCGAGTCTCGAGTCGGGCAAAGTATTACTGGATTTTTTTAAACAAATCTCAGTGATAGCACGGAGTCTGGAATTGTGCCCGGTATATGGCAATAAGCCAACCACTATTACCTGGGTATTACATTGTACAGTGGTATTAAGTGCCGTAATGTATGTACACCTCTACCTTCCCTTTTGGGGACGAAAAGGCGTGATGTTATGTTATGTTTAAGGCATATTTAAGGCAATACTAATTGAAGGACCCTCAAACATGTTGTCAAAAAAGCAAACAAAATACATAAAAAACATTGTATGATTGTAGTCAGAGAGGAAATGAACGAAAAGTAACTCAAAGTAAATACAGATAAAGGTATAAAATACACACAGCAACAATGTTTTCAACAGCACAATGCTAGATTTTCGCAGCAATGCGGTAAGAACTTTTAATTCAATGAACTATGCACTTCCAATTTTCTCAAAGGAGGGGAAATTTTCAAATAGCCGTGTTGCACATTGGTGTAGCCAGCACTCTGTAGTGAGCTTATAAATTTATCTGTACAAAGGTTGTAGGAATCCTCGCGCACTTCCCTGTGGCTTGGGGCTCAGGACTCAAAGAGCTAGATCGCGATAACGCGAAGACGAGGACTCGTAAGAGACTTGTGCAAGAGTGAGCAATTTATACCTTTTAATTTGAATATTGAATTGAATTGTGCTGCTGATGGTAATTTGACTCTATAATTGACAACACGGTTAGTGCGGTGGCTGGACAACTGGCTGCCACGCAACGTGGCGCGGGTTCGATTCCCGCACGGAGCAACTCTTTGTATGACCCACAAATTGTTGTTTCGGGTCTGGGTGTCATGTGTATGTGAACTTGTATGTTTGTAAACGCACCCACGATACAGGAGAAAATCCTAAAGTGGAGCAATGTTTTATAAAAAAACAATATGGATTTGAGGATTTAATATGGTTTGATTGTTTGGTTAGTTCATAAATTTTTGTTTGCGTTAGTATTGTTATTTTTTTATTAACTATTCGTAATTGAGAAGAAATTATATCAATGATATTTAAAAACTACACTAATGTACTAACTTAGTTTTTAATATTTCCGTCTCAAAAAAACAACTAAAAAATTCTAAATGTTTACTGTCGTGTTTTTAATCGTGACATGATTAATACCTCTTTGTTTATTACCTCCACTTCCAAACTACATTTCTAAACGCTTTCTTCTCATTTTTTAAAATCTAAAATAACACCTTTATAAACTTTTCTGGCTCTTTGCTGCATCAATCTATCCAAACAAGCTGACCGCGCACTCATATAGCCTAATGGCTAGCGGCTAAGTCTTCACATGGTATTTTACAGTCTCAGTCAATAGAAGGCTCTTCTTGCTTTAATCGTAAAACTAGTGCTGCATTTGTTCCTTGTGTAGCTGGTTTGAATACGGATAATAGCTAGTTTTGTTCAGGGTTTGTTTTTATTGTAAAATAGCTATTATTACCTCATTATTTTTGCATTGAGTTCTGAATTTAGTTTACGGAAAAAAAACATTTGGGTACTTCGATTTCTATAATCAATTATTTATATCCATATAGGTAAATGGGTAAGTCGTATTAGTTACACTATTTATAACTCAAGAACTACTAAATCGGTTTGGATGAAATTTGGTGCGGAGGTAGCTTAGAACCAGGAAACAAACGTAGGACACGTTATCCGATACTTTTTTCCTTTTTACCGAAAATCTAACGGGAGTGGGAAAAACGGGATTGTGCGTACGAAGTCGCGAGCAGAAGGTAGTTAGTATTATTTTTAATAATGTGTGACACCAGGCTTGCACACAAGACTATGATGACATTTTCACAGGTACAATCTCAAACGCATAAATAATTTGGCGTGTGGACATAAATTAAAACATATCAACTTAAAACTTTAATATCTACACAATACAAATCAATCTCGCATAAATATTGCCAATAACGCCGTCACTATTAATACAAGAGAAGCATTGATGCCATATCCACTACTCTGCAGGTAACCAAATCTCTTAGCCTGGAAAATCAGTTCCAAAAGAGAGTCCATGACTTCCAAGTTATTGGGCAGGATCTGTTCATTTGGAAGAAGGAAGCCAGAAGCACCATTATCTCTTAATTCATAGCAGTATACCAATGGGACTTTCAATTCTTCTTTCACCCAGTCTATGCTACCTCCTGAGGCGTGATCTGAAAAAATAAGAAAGAATATTCAGTAACAATACGGCCATTTCAATATCTGCCTCTAAATCATCTCCTAACTAAACGTTATTGAGCGTAATGCAGCATCTAAACCAACCCCTTGTCGCGGAGAACCTAACGGCTAACCGGCGCTCCGGCTCGACGTGCAGAAGGAACGGGGTGGTTTTCAGTCAGTAAGAGTCTGACACTCCCTTCCGCCTCACCCAGGCGGGAGCAGTTATTTGATGATTATCCCCCCTTAAAAAAAACAACCCCTTACTTGTACTCTTAGATACCTCTTACAGGTTAGTGAAAATCAAAATGTTATTAAATGTCACAAATACTAGCTTAGGGGTTCCATTAAATTTAGGATACGTTGGTCAAAATGAGCATTATTCTTGTAAACCTTTGACCGGCAATAGAAAACTGTTGATAGGCGAATCTTACAGGTATCATAGCTAAAGTCGGTCACCGGTGACTCCAAAAACGTTTTACGTGTTAAAAAAGAAACAAAAAATGTCATTGCTATTGTGATTTCCGAGTATAAGATTTTGATTATATCAGAGTCGTCACTACGTGTGTTACTGCCTTTATGGTTTTTCAGATTCGAATAGGCTTTAGATAATTTAATACATTAGGATTAGTAGGTGTCTTAATTACCAAGCTCTTTATCTATCTAGCTCAGTTTTTCCAATGTTATCTTCATTCTTTTTAATTTACATAATAATTAAAGTATTTTATTAACAATTAATAATTTGTGCTACTTACAAATGGTTTCAGCAATGGTTCCTGTCCTGTACAGGGTGCCATATTTAACCGATAACGCTCCCATGCCACGGGCGCCGATATTCCTCTGCAAAATCGATAAAAATTACGATTAATAGAATACAAAACATTACTTAGCTTAACATGACTGCTGACAAAACGATAAAGCTATTTTTGAATTCTAAAGTTCTCCTTTTAATCCAGTAGTCAGTAAGAGTCTGACACTCTTTCTCGCCTCTTCCAAGGTAGGGTAAGTCATTGGATGATTTTCCCCACTCAAAAAAGCCCAGCGTATGGCAACAAGGCTTTTTATTCACTATAGGTCTCTATATTGTAGACTTATGGAATTTTTGTGAATGTTAACTAATATTACACAAAATATATGTTTACGTATGATATCATACGTAACAATAATTACAGTAGGTAACATAGACACAATTAACCAATTCACACACCATTTAAAAAAATCCTAATAGACATACATACATAACATCACGCCTTTTTATCCCCGAGGAGTAGACAGAGGTTCACATTTCGGCACTTAATGCCACTGTACAATGTAACACCCACTTTTCACTATTTATGTTATAAGTCCCATGTAATAGGAGGTGAGCCTATTGCCATATACCGGGCACATTTCCAGACTGAGATTTTTTAAAAACCCAGTAATACTTTGCCCGACCCGGGAATCGAACCCGAGACCCCTTGCCCGCCAGTCGCACTTGCGACCACTCGGCCAACGAGGCAGTCCTAAAAATCCTAATAAATACAAAGGAATATCCAAAATTATTTCAAAAATGAATTAACAAAACTTACAGCATCATGATAGTTTGCTAGCGGTGCGGTGGTATTTCCAAATGGTATCAACAGCATCTGACCATACGAATGGAAGGACAGGTACATGTCAATTTTATCACCAATCGACGCTAAGAATTCAGACAAAGATTTCGTCTCCGGTTCTGAGAAAGGTGCTGTACCCGCATAATCGTCTCGAGCAGGATTTGAGCTTGCACCTACAACTGTTGAAACAGAAGATACCACTGTTAATAATTGTTTATCACATAGTGAAGCAGCAGCTAACTTACTAAAATTATTTAGACACTACTGACAAACGGTGAAAGAAAACATTGTGACGAAACCTGGGCTTATAATTTCTAATTATAAGTTTGTAATTACCAGCCCGCATTGAGAAAGCGTGGTGATTGATGCTCAAACTTTCTGCATATGAGAAGACCCCTTTGGTCAGCAGTAGCCACTTATAGACTGTTGATGAAGACTGAAAGTAGCAGCTACTTGTAAAAAAAGAAATTCAAATGTTTGTATGCAGTCGTTTATGTAATAATACCTACCCATCCAGTTGTTATCCCAATTTCTGTTCAAATCAACGCCAACATGTTCACCAACAGGACGTCTATTCTTGCGCCACATTCTGGCCTAAACATATGAAAACAATTAAGTATTTCTACAATCTAACCAACTCGTAAATACATAAGGAAAAGAGGTTATTACGTTTTCAAAACTCCAAATATAGCCATCAGGATTCGTAACTGGGAAGATATACCAATCAAAACCCTGTGCAGCAGCTTTTATATCTTCATTATCATTCGTCAGCAGCTCATTAGTAATATAGGTGACTGTAGCTGGTGAGATCCATTCCCTGGAGTGAATACCACCTTCCAAAAAGATCGCTCTTCTCCCTTCGCCATGAGATATTTTAAGACCTTTGATTGCTCGATCTTCATACGTTGTTCCACCAGTAATGACTTCGACTACTTCAGGGTAAGTTGCAGCTAAATCATCAATCCAAGCGTTGATAGAAGACAGATTGTAGTAGCCATCCCATGTCATACTTTTTATATTGCCTCTTGTATATGTCTTTATCACCTCCCTGTCTATCGCACTGTAAAAATTAAGAAACCTCGTGAACTATACAATTTTGAATTCATGCAAAAGTTGACAAGATATTGAAAGAAGACTTTTGGTAAATGTCTGTCTTAAGCGCCACCTAATACAATCCCTAGCTAGCTAGATTCTATCATGCTCATCAGCTTGTGCGGTCACATTGATAAAAATTTTAATGACAATGTTAACCAAAGTAATGAAATATTCATAGATTATAAAATAATTAAAAGTTTAAAATAATTATTACTATTACTTAACTGTAGCTACTAAATACTTACTCTTGTATATTTTCTGTACTGATTTCAAATTCCACGTCTTTAGATTTCAAAATATTTTCAAATTCATTCCTGTCTTTGGGGCTTGTCAGAACGTTCACATAGCTAGACAGAGCGACAGGGTCGTTCCAGAAATCGAATCTTGCGTCACTATCTCGTAAACTTTTAAGAAAATTTACTTGATCCACATCTTTCAATATAATTTTGTAAAGAGCATAATTGTCGAAACGAAATTCACTCAAAGCATTTGGTACTATTAAAACTAAACTAAGAATTATAAACCACATTTTACTTCTTGATGCTAAATTTTTATTTGCAATGGTCACTGACGACCAATTTAGACTGATGTTTTAATTGCCTGAATATTTTGAAGTAATTGTTAATATGATTGTGATCTAGCCACCTTGTGTTTGTTGAGGTTATCAAGATAAAATACGTACCTATATCTGCGCAATAAATTTCAGTTAATGATCGTATTTAATAACCTGTTATTACAAATAGATTACGGAGAGATAAAACTTGGTGAAGTGTGACTCTAGATTACGTTATCATAGAAAATTTTCGGTTTATCTTATCTGTAAATTAGAACAAGACATAAAAATCTCTGTGTTAAATGATCAATATTCAGATGGCCTAAAGTGTACGTAAACAGTATTAGTACAAAGGCCGATATTTTCAATGCCAGATAAATTTTAACTGAAGAATAGCTTTATATATTTGACAATGCTTCCGTACTTGAAACTGTCGAATGTCAATTTTATTCTACAGTTAACCCGTTGAAAATCATCCCCTAAATTTGTTCATACAAAAGTAGTCTCTATACATTGGAAATAAGATCTTTAATGTAGTTAGTGGAGAGCGATCACCGGTGACCGCTTGGGGATATATGGTGATTTGAATGGTGTTTAAAAAATCGACTCTAAATAAAAAATGTTGTTCTGTCCAGATTTTTTCAAAAAACTGCATAATTATTTATAACTGCCATATTATCTTCATCAATATCCGTAATAGTTTACTTCTGGACAATGGACTATGAACCCACTATGTACTCAAGAGGTTTATAATTAAAATTGGGGAATTAGTAAATTGAATTAGTTTGTAATCATACATAATTATTAATATTAATAAAACGCAGATAACAGTTAATTCCGTGTTTAACCTTCAAAACAAAAATAAGAAACGTGACTTTAGCAATCGATGTAAACATAAATTTTAATATCATTATTAATCAAAATACTAACTTTACAACAGGTCTTAAGACTAAATTGTTTTATAACACTAACGCAATGCCTTAAGTCCGAAGCAATAAATTTATTCACAATCATACATGCAATATTCGCCGAAATAAAACGTAACATTAACGGCCTGGTTTGCGTTTTGAGTTATTTATTAGCTTCACTACCTATCTTTTATCGGACTGCTGTAAAATACAGGAGAGGTCAGGAAAATAAAGGCGGTACTATAAATGTAGCATTACTTTAGTTTATGGGTACTCAGACATTTGCTGTGCTAATTAGAATTATTCCTGTTTGATGAATGGCATGGTTGAGTAATTTTAATCACTTTTTCGCCGAGTTTATGACCACAGATGGACTCGTTGGTGAAGTTCTCGCTAATGTCTAGTATATACAACGTAATATAAAACGTTTCGATTTCAAAATTCTGTCTAACGATATAGTGTATGTAAATTAGAGAAGTTTGATAGAGAAAAACAGAAATCTTCGGTAGTAGAAGATTGAAGGGCGTCAAACTACAATTAGTTTACTTTATAAGTTGAAAAGACCAAAACATACTTTTAAAGAACTATTTACGATTTTCTGTATAAATAAAATAAAAGTCAGATGGTTGTAAATTATGTTTATTAAGTATTAATTCGTTGTATGTTAAATAAATTATTATGTTTTCAGCTTACTCATGTAAACGCAGCATTTTGCGACCCGCGACGCGGTGACTATCGCGAAATGCTGCTCATGAATATGAGCCTCTAGAATGGCTTGAAACTAGTCGAGTTCCTCGTCAAATTATTACGTGAGTAAGCCGAAAACATAATAATTTATTTAGTATGTCTCTCGAAAGTTACTATACATATTCTATGTTGTTGTAGCTCTTTGGGCTTCTATTTATTCTGGTCCTCGCATATATCCATATCGTTTAGCTTGGAACAAAATTTCTATTACTGAATCCATGGTTTCTTCACTGGTCGGCAAGATCTGGTCTGGTGGAAGAAGATGGCCATATTGCCCTCGGTCACGAAGTTCATAGCAGTAGGCTAGAGGAATTTTCAGACGCTCCTTTACCCAGTCCACACTTGTTCCTGTGGCAAAATCTGTAAGAAATCAAGATTTGTTCATGATTTACGTCCTTTTTTGGTGATAGGAAGAGACCTTCAAAGGACCACTGACCTCTAGCTTTTGGAAAGATAACCTAGGGATTGTGGTTCTTAACGTGTTATCGACGTCGTTTATTTTTAAGGGAGGAAAATTATTGAATTAATTCTCCCGCCTGGGTGAGGCGGGAGAATTAATCTCAGTCGCGCAGACTGTTACTGACTAAAAACCACCCAGTTTCTACTCCTGCTTTTGAATCCGGAGTTCTAGCAACCCGTTAAGTCCTCCGCGACTCTGTTCTGTACCGATGTCTGGATATCAATATCTGTTTAAAATTCTTAGTAGGTAATCTCGTACCATTTGCTCAATTTCCATTACTGGTTAAGACTGGCTAAAAGTATTATTATTTAGCTCGTGATCTCACATTATATAAAAAATATTTTATAATACGTACAAATAGCTTCAGCGATATTGCCGATAGTGTAAGGAGTACCATATCTGAATGCAAGTGCTCCCATAGCTCGCCTTCCAATTTTCATCTGTAATAAAAAGGGGTTATTTTAAAGTAAAGTCTCAGTAAATCGACCAGATTGGTAAAGGATTAATGAAATGTTATATTAAAAAATCCCCAATCCTATCCTAATATCCAAAAGGTCGGTAACGAACTTATTACGCCTCTGATGTTTTGTGTGTCCATGGGTGGCGCCAATTGCTTACCATCGGATGATCAGTCTGCTCGTTTACCGGATAATCCTATAAAAAACCCCTAACCGATGAGCATGCATAAAATACTGACGCCTGTTGATAAAACGAAAGAGGTATGTATGAAACGTAACAATTAGCTATTCACAATCTCTGGCTATACCCATGAGACAGATGAGGCTATGCATGTATGTAAAGTATGTATGTATGTATATGTGTATATATGTATGAGTGCATGCATGTGTATTGTGTTGTACTCGTGTGTAGGTATATATATTATAATTATGTTTATTTATGTTTATCCCTGAAATATGTAAGTATATCTATTCTATTTGCTCTATTAAATAGTTGCTTGCTTCTTGCTCACACCATTGACTCTTCTCTGCATCACCCAAAGGTCAGACTGGGAGAAAATGCCTGCGGCATTAAGTCCACCTTATGTACATTTTGTGCATGAAGCTTACAAATAAATAAATAAATAAATAAAGTTTCAATAATTTTACTGATAAAAGGGTGGAGATACTGCTATTCATGTTTTATGTTCAGTGTTACAGTATTTTAATGCATTTTTTGTAATTACTTACAGCATCATAATAGTTAGCCAATGGTTCTGTAGTATTTCCAAATGGTAGAAGAAGAATTTGACCAGAGGAGTGAAAGGAGAGGTAGAGGTCAATCTTATCGGCCATATCGGTGATGTATGCAGATAATGATCTGGCTTCAATTTCAGAGAAGGGACCTGGACCAGCATAGGTGTTGGAACTTGGATTCAAGTTGGCGCTTTCCTCTGCGAAGTAGATAAAATTGTTATTGAAGAATGTCTAAAGTAAAGTAAGTATATCTTTACGTTCCTTTTGGAATACATCAGCGCAAAGTTTCAAGTGAAGAATAAGTTTGATAAGAAATCAAAAATCTTTTTACTAAGTCTATAATTAAAATGTTCATATTTTTGAAATTAAAATAAATCAAGTAATGTTTTGTATCAGTATTTGCCAATGACATTCTACTTACTTAGCCAATTGTCGTTCCAATTCCTGTTGAGATCGACACCGAACTCATTACCAAAAGGACGTCGGTTTTTGCGCCATAGTCGGAACTGTGAAAAATATGAAGTCTGATGTAATTTTCATTGGTAAAAAGATTTATTGGGTTGTAGTAGTAAATTAACCTTTATGTTATTTGCTCCTGTTAAAATTCCATAAAAAAATGGTCAAATCAAAAATTGTTATTTATGACATCACCAAGTATGAACATCTATAAGAAGTGACTGCTAAATACAGGATTTCGAATACAAAACTGAAGATACCTTCATAAAATCCACAACATAATTACTAAAAGACTAAATTAAAACTTACGCCCACATGACTCCAGATATACCCATCGGGATTAGTCACAGGAAAGATGTACCAATCAAAATCACGAGCAGCAGCCTTTATCTCCTCATCATCACTAAACACAAGCTCATTGATGATAAAATTAGTTGTAGCTGGAGCAATCCATTCCCTGGCGTGAATTCCACTTTCAATGAAAACTGCTCTCCTACCAGGACCGTGGGAGATCTTTATGCCCTTAATCTCCCGACCTTCGTACGTGGTTCCTCCAATTATTATAGAGATGGTTTCAGGGAATCTGGCTGCTAAGTCTTCTAACCAGGCGTAGATGTCTTCTAAAGTGTAGTAATTGTCAAACTCCATAGTTCTGATGTTGCTTCTTGTGTAGGTCTTCTTTTTCTCATTGTCGATTAATCTGTACAATTAGATTAATATTGATATGTCTGTCTTATTAATCGATTTTTATACTAACCTGGCTATATGGAATAGAAGTATATGGTTTAATCACATTTTCAAAATTGACAATTATTTGGTGCGATTTTTTTTTTACATTGCCCCACACTATGATTTTCTCCTGTGTCGTGAGTGCGTTTACTAACATACAAGTTTACATACACATGATATCCAGACCCAAAACAAGAATCTGTGGATCCGAAAAAGAGTTCCGTGCGGGAATCGAACCCACGACACGTTGCGTAGCAGCCAGTTGCCCAACCACTGCGCCAACCGTGCAGTCATTCTAGATCATTCTAGAGTCTAACTAGATATCTTTTGTTCAGAAGTTGCACTTATGATCACTTCAACAATGTGAATAGATACAAACATAGATAGATAATTTACTCACTCTTGAATATTTTCTTGTGTTATCACAAAATCAATTTCGTTAGATGCCAAGAAGCTTTCCAGGTCTTTCTTCAGTTCGGGTTTAGACACAATATTTATATAATCAGCAGTTGGCACTGGGTCATCCCAGAAATCAAATTCAGGAGCAGCATCTTGAAGTTCTTGAAGATATTTCACATCTTTTAAACTCTTAGGCAAGACTTTGTAAAGAGAGTAATTGTCAAACCGAAATGGTTCACTGGAAACCACGACAAATAAAATTGATAATAAATAAAATATTTTTAACGCCATTTTTGGGAGTCTATTTGTCTTAGACTACCATGGTCGACTGAATGTCTCTATCAGGTGGAACCATAAAAGTATAAGGAATAAGATATAAATTGATAGAAGAGCTGTAAATTTTATGATCATTAATATAGTGTTTGATAAATTTTATTATACCTAGGTATAGTAGTATTGTATTCAGGTATCAATTTTAGTTATATTGTCATTAACAATCAGTTATTTTAAAGTGGAGTTATTAATTATTGACTACATCTGATAGTAGTATTTAGACTTTGTTTACTGTCTCATTTTATGTTGTTTCTCATGTATATTGAAGTGTTTGTTACCAATTTTTTTACAGTATTGTTAAGGTAAAAGTTCCTTAATTAAAGCGGCATTATAATTGACATAAAAAGTAGGGAAGTATCAAGAAAAGCATATACCAAGGTACGTATTATACAATTTTTTTAATGCTTGCGCGTTAGTTTTAGATGGTATATTATTATTATTATCAACGATCACTGCTTGCCTGGCTATTTAAGTACATAACATAAAATAACATCACGCCTTTTTCTCCCCGAACGGGTAGGCCGAGCTGCACATTACGGCACTTAATGCCACTGTGCAATGTAACACCCACTTTTCACTATTTATGTTATGAGTCACACGAATAGGGGGTGAGCCTATTGCTATATACCGGGCACTATTCCAGATTCCGTGCCATCGCTTAGTTTTTTTTTTAGTCCCAGTTATTTAAGTACCTATAGGTAATTACTAATTTGTATGGTAAAGCTTGAGTTGACGCCAATAAAAAGGATTGACCACAGAGAGCTGTAAGAAGAGGTGAGTGGAAGAATGGTAGGGAAGACTATGTCCTGCAGTGGGACGACCATGGCTAAAAATAAAATGGTAAAATGCTAACATTTGAAATCATCTTGATTTTCGTTGTTATGTTTAACACTTTGACTGCCAAATTACAAATGGAGAATGTCAAACCTCCACAGACGAGTGGAGGTTAGTAATCTGTAACTATCGTGGAGAACCTAACGGGTTACCGGGGCTTGGGCTTGAAACGCAGGGGAAGGAACGGGGTGATTTTTAGTCAGTAAGAGTCTGACACTCCCTCCCGCCTCACCCAGGCGGGAGCAGTCAATCGATGATTTTCACACCTTAAAAAAAGTCATCGATAACTGACGTAGCGCTCGAAGAGTCGATCACCATTTTAATTCATAAAATAACTTAGAAAAAGTAAATATAATATTAGTTAAACGTGCAAAAGTTTTCAGAAAACGCCATCATTAATAATTTTACTAGTACACAATGATCTGTTTAAACAGTACCTACTTAATCTATAAAATGATTAACCAAAAAAAGTTATCGTTTTTTATCTTTATGACAAGATCACCGTCTTACTTGCATTTTACAATTGTATCGATAATTACAATTTTATCAAAGTTTTAAGCAATGTGTTCAGAATCGATATCAGATTATTGTAAACAGTTTTGCTGTTTGAAATGTCCCAATATTGATTAACATTTTGAAGGTAAGTAAATCTTTGACAATTGTTTTTTTTTCTGGTTTGGAAACAAATGCTGTATTCGGTCGATTTTTAATTCCGTTACCTAAAAAAATGTATGCAAAATTTTTGAATTAGGGTTTGGTCCTCATTACTTAAATACTAGATTCTGCCCGCCGCTTCGCCTGCGTATCGTGGGATAAAAAGTTGCCTATGTGTTATCCCAGACCATAATGTATCGACAGATCGGGCCTAATAGGGCTGATGCCGATACGGAGCCGCGGAGAGCTTAACGGGTTGCCGGGGCTCCAGCTCGAAGTGCAGGAGTAGGAGCGGGGTAGTTTTTAGTCAGTAAGAATCTGACACTGTCTCTTACCTCAGCAGGGCGGGAGAAGTCATTGGATGATTACCCCGCTCAAAAAAAAAATGTGCGTGACGTGATTAAGTAACAAACATACACACAAACTCATAGACTTTCGCATCTATAATATGAAATCAAATCAAATCACTTTAATGCATCTATAGTGTGTACAGGATGGTTTACAATTTTTGACAAAATATGTTCCAACTATAGGCCCTTTTGGGCACCGCAAAAGTACTTACTGGACTTACAAAATGATAGAAATCTTGTAACATACCCCATTTACCTATTTTTATATCACCCCAAAAGTTTATGGGGTTTGGAATTTGAGGATTATTGGGGAGGGGGTAATATGGCCACCGGTAATCTCACTGACACGACGAAACACAACGCAAGCGTCGTTTCACGTCGGTTTTCTGTGAGGTCGTGGTATCACTCCGGTCGAGCCAGCCTATTCGTGCCGAAGCATGGCTCTCCCACACTAGTTCATTTTGTTAACCTAATAATCGTTAACAAATAATAGGTGAGCAAAATAAAACAGCTATAACTTGTATCAGTTTTTATTCTTACTAAATAAAAGCAGACATTAAAATAAATATGACATTCAGAATATTAATTTGCAGGTACTAAGTAAATAGTGTATTAAAAGTAAATAAATTGTAAAATATTAAGTTGCATTGAAAACATTATAATGTGACCGATAATCGATTATATTTCAAATCTATACTTTATTGATACCTATATTGAAAGAATTTTATCTTCGGAAAATCCTTAGATAAATAATAACATTACAAGGCACCGTCTTAATAGAATACGAATAATTGGTTAGTTTCAAGGGTCTCAAAATTAAAAATCCATTTAGTCCGTCAGTTAGAAACAAAAAAAAAATATTAGACACGTATTTTTTATTTTCTCGTATTAAGTTGCAATACTTAGATAAAATAGCGCTAAGTTTAGGAGTGGGACGTTTTTACGTCACAATGTGCTACAAAATGTGGCACGCTGTGACGTCACACGATATTTTAAATTAATATAACATCGAAACTATTTCATTTTGTGGGAAAAGAAAAAAATACGTGTCTAAAGTTTTAAATTAATGTACCAGACGGATATTAAAATAAAATTAAGGAAACTCCCTATTGTAAGTTTGTTCCAACGTGAGATAGCACGCACTAAGGGCCGAAACACATAACCGCGCTGCGTCGCCGCAACGTTAAAATCGGCAGTTTGTCGGCAGCGCTCGTTCGAGCATAGCAGGGTAATATGTCTTCTTAATAGCAAATAAGCAATAAGTTTTTGACGATGGTCCATGACAGAGTCACGTCTATCCACAATAAAAAATCACGACGAACTGGTTACCCTACCGAACGAACACAAACGCTCTTTTTCACGAGACGCCGCAACGCCGCAAACTGCTGATTTTTGCGTTGCGGCGACGCAACGCGGTTATGTGGTTCGGCCTTTATATCTTCATTAAATTGAGCAATGCAATATTGGGAATATACTTTTAAATTCAGGTTTTTGTCGAAAATTATAAACTTATTGCATTTCTTTCTAGTTAGTTTTGTGCTTGTTTTCATCAACCACATCATCCCTTATCACTAGGCGAGATAAAGGCTAAACGTCATCCTACCAAATAAAAAAACCTCTGTTAGGGAATCCCAGCTTAAATAGGTAATGCTAAATGATTCTTTAGTGGTCACCAACCTATAAGTGACACCGAATATTATAGATAAGGTGAGGGGTTAGTTTAACTCATAGGTAGTTAAAGAATTGTTTAGGGGTTCGGGAAAAGGACCGCAAATCTTAGTTTATTTTGCACGTAAACATCATACATGTGCCTCCAAGACAATGCCTTTGTAACATTTTATAAAATAGCTGATTTTTTAAATGAAACATGGTTTATATTACTAAAATATAATTTAAGATGAAGGAAGAACATTAATGAACTTCGCTTCTCTGATTATAGCTAGAAGAGAGTCCAGAGTTTCTTCAGCTGTGGGTAGGATTTGGTTGGGTGGTAGAGTGTATCCCCAGAATCCATTGTCCCTAAGAAGATAAGTTGCAGCCAGCGTTGGGTTAAACCGGTGCTTAACCCAGTCGACAATGGAACCTGTGGCACCATCTAAAGAAGAGAGACAGGTAATTAATTCTTATTTCTTAAACAATACTGTACATTTTTCTTAAGCACATTGATGATAAACTAAACCTTACGTTTATAAAGAAGAATACTATGAAGAAAAGACCACTTGATTTTTATTTTTAATGAACATTTTTTAGAAATATGTCCATAACAATAAATTAGTAATAGGTTGGAACTTTGCTCAATCAGCACTTCAACCTGATAGTAATTTTAACTGCTGTTGTTTTAGGTTCAAAATAGAACTTTTTAGAGGTACTTACCGTGAATATTTTTGGAGGTACCAACACGATATTGCGTATCATAACGAACAGCTAAGGAACCCATAGCTCTTCTTGCAATGATGATCTGTTAAGACAAAATTAATATTACCTTGAGAAACTAAAACCTATATTTTGACTCATTGATGATTGCATCGCTTGACCTTGAAAATAAATCCTAATATAATAGTATTGTATTCATGTATTTATTTATTTTATTTTTTCAAAAAAATGTTGCCCCAATCTAGGATTTTCTCCTGTGTAATGAGTGCGTTTACAAATATACAATATTACATACACATGACACCCAGACCCGGAACAACAATCTGTGGATCACACAAAGAGTTGTTCCGTGCGGGAATCGAACCACGACACGTTGCGCGGCAGCCAGTTGCCCAACTACCGCACCAATTTAATCTTAAAAGAAACTTTGCAACAGACGTGTAGAACAATCAGTGTCATACTTATAATTTTTATTGAATTTCTGTCCATGAATAAGTCTTCAGACTCAAAAGAAGTAGAAGTAGTTACTAATAGATCATACAGCCAATGTTCAATGTGTCAATCTTTACAAAATTACTATAATAACAATATCAACTTACCATCTCATTGTAATTGTACAGCGGATCACTTGAATGGGCAAAAGGAAGGAGCAACTTCTGTCCGTAAGCTCGGAAAGAGAAGAATCCAGTGAGGGAAGTTCCAATGGTTTGAATGAAGTTTGAGAGGAACCTTGTCTCAGGTTCAGAGAATGGACCAAGACCTATGTAGTTGTCGTCCCTAGCATCGAAGCTTCCACCGCTAACTGCAATATAGTACAGAAAATGAGTAAAATCATCTATAAATCCGAAATATTTAGTGTTAAATTGGTGTCTGGAACACTGTTCTGATTTAGTAAATTCACCCCTTTTAATAACTTAATTAACCCGTCGTGTGTCTCAACGTGGAACAACGCCGTGCCGTTCGGATTGTTGGATGTCGGGATGTTTCGAACCGGCTAGATCCTTTGGCAATGCGTAGAGATGTAGCCTCGTTGTCCATTCTCTATCGCTTATACCACGGGGAGTGCTCTGAGGAATTGTTTGACTTGATACCTGCCGCATCTTTTCGCCATTGACCCTCATGACAGAATATACATCCCCAGCATATAGATGGTTGGCAGGCCACAACTGTGCGCTTCTCACGATGCTTTCTGCCTCGGACAGCAAAACTGTGGAATTATCTCTCGTCGCCGGTATTTCCGAACCGATACGACCTTCAAACCTTCAAGAAAAGAGCGTATTCCTTTTTAAAAGGCGGGCAACGCACCTGTGGCTCCTCTGGTGTTGCCACCCATGGACACCCATGGGCGGCGCTGATCGCTTACCATCAGGTGATCCGTCTGATCGTTTGCCTCCAATTCCATAAAAAAAACGCGAGACACAATGTATTTTCTATTTCATTCAAGCGGTTAAACTACTAAACGAAAAGTAAAGAAGTAAACGCTACATATATTTTTTTGGAAAACAATAGGCTTATTTTAGTAGATGAAGACGATAAAGATAGTAGAATTACCTCCCCATTGTGCATTCCAGTTCTTAGTTAGGTCAATACCAGTAGTGGTAGCGTTTGTGGGCCTTCTGTTCTTAATCCAACCTCTAACCTGGTGAATTAAAAGCGTTTAGAAGTAGCAGTACCTAAATGAATTCTGGTAGTAAAAGTTGATGAAAGTGTTGTTAACAATATAATGATAGGAAGCTGGTTTAGAACAATCAATATTCTATCAATATTATTCACACTAACCGCCGTACTCAGAGTCATTTAATGGCTACTTAGCCCAGTCCTTAGCAATTATTTCGGAACAAAATCGTAACTAAAGAATAGTTTAACCCGTGGTATAACGTAGATCTACGCGAGACACAATGTGTTTTCTATTGCGTCTCATATATCGGCATTAAGAGGTTAAGTAATCATTAAATGGCTCTGAGTATCGCCATTAGTACCAAACACCTAACAATAAGACAGAGTGAAAGGTACCTAGCCAACTAAATTAAGAAAATAGAAAACCTAACCCATAACAATACTTACAGAATCCTGAGAAAATTGGAATCCATCAGGATTAGCCACTGGGAAAATGTACCAGGTGAATTCTTCAGCAGCTGCTCTTGTTTCACGGTCATCGCTATGTATCAGCTGATCAGCAATGTAAGTAACAACGGTAGGAGATAGCCAATCAGCACCAACTTCACCAGCGTGGAGAAAGATAGCTCGACGACTGTCATTACGACCGATTTTAATACCAGTAATATCTCTACCTGGAATAAAATAGTTATTTTTAATAACTTGTGGTCTTGTTAAGGACCGTATGTTTTTTTAACCCGTCGAGCGTACCCGTTCCTTATGATCCAACGGGTGCACACGTGACATTTGGAGAAAGAAAGAAAGAAAGAAAATGCATTTATTTGGTCATTGGCACATAGAATTAATAGAAATAAAAAATACAGTCAAAATAAAACCAAAACATTAATAATAGATTTTATAAAAGAGAAAGCAGCATGGAGCATTTTTTCTTGTGATCCACCGGGTGCTCATAAGGACGCTCGAGGGGTTAACTGATTATGCTGACGTCTTATACTCACCCTCGTAACTTTGTCCAATTGTGATCTTTTTAACAAATGCATATCGTGCTTCTAGGCGATCAAACCATGCGTAAATATTTTCCGTAGTTTGATAGTTGGTCCAAAACAATTCATCGTCAGCATTACGTTTTTTTCGACTAATGATCTGGGCATCAAATGCTCTATGAACAAATCACACAATGTTAATTACGCCTATTGTAGGAAAATATTGTAATTGCTGCATATAAAATATTACACGATGTTTGCACCAGAGGCCTGTTAGCAAGTCATTAGCCATGGTTCAAAAAATATTAAATAATTTCACTTAGAAATTGAATAAAAACGCTGATATTTTATAGTGCCACTACATATTAAAATAAAAACAGTACGAAATAGCAATGAAAGCATTAAAAGAAATAGCTTCTTCACCGAGGAAGTTCACTTTGCATAATTATTTTGATTCAAACAAAACAGCATGCGAAGTGTAAATAGTACGAACGCCGTAAAAGCAACGTAATACATGGAACTATAAACCAAACTCAAGAAACTTACTCCTGAATGTTCTCCACCTTAAGTTCAGCTCGAATGCTACGTTTCTTCAAGGAATGTTCTAATTCTTCCTTCAATTCAGGGGGAGATACAATGTTCACAAACTCTCCAACTAGGCTAGGGGGAGTCCAAAAATCATAACCTTCATCATTTGTATACAGATCCTTCAAAAATTTCAAATGTTCTTCATTCTCTGGATGAACTTTGTACAATCCATAGTTATCATATCTCACTTTCTCTGCACCTACTATAACTAATAAAACACTAAATAAAATCAGTTTCAAACACATCTTTAATTACAACCTATTCAATTTAGGTGTCAACTGAAAGTATTTCATTTACGATACTCGCATTATCATCGTCGTGTTAAATAGTCTAATCTTTAAATTTTAATTTGTCATCTTATTTTTACGAAATAAGTTCGATTTTTGTTTGGCCATCTGATAAATTTATTTTATCGTCATTATTCTTTTGTATCTTATCGAATTACGTCGTTTAATCGGCGGTGATATGATAAATTGTTTGATTAGCATTGATATACATAATTAAGTACCGTCGGTACACGGTACAATAAATTCTTATTAACCGTATGAAATACATATTTAACTGTTCATACCTATTTTGAAGTAGGGGTTTTAGAAGTATAGATGTGACGACTTCTGTTTAATAATTTCGTTAATAGTGGATAATGTTTCATCGTTTCATTTGGAAAACACATAACATCACGTCTTCTATCCACGAATGGGTAGGCAGACTTGCACATTATGGCACTTAATGCCACTGCACAATGTAACACCCACTTTTCACTATTTATGTTATGAGTCCCATGTAATAAGGGGTGAGCCTATTGCCATATGTCGGACACAATTCCAGACTTCGTGCTACTACTGAGAATGAAAAAAAAACCAGTGTCCTTTGCCCCACCCGGGAATCGAACTCGAGGCCCCTTGCTCGGTAGTCGCACGAGGCAGTCAAAATAATCTAATTGAATAAACATAATAATATCAAATTTGTACTAAGTAATAATGCATAAATACAATTTTAAATAAAAAAGAAGCAACAGATAAGCCGCAATCTCTCATAATTAGTACAGAAACTACAAGACGTACATTTATATGCTCCAAAATTAACACTTCATAAAATAATGCGACATAAAGTTGCACACGCGACTGAGACGTGGCGTGGTCATCGCTAATTGTGATTAATAGTCGGTCCGCTGTCGACGTCATTTGTCTTCAAGCGTCGCACTGGCCAGTTTACTTTCTACCGTGTAAGTTGGTGATGATGCAGACGAGCGATTTAATGTTATTAGCGACAATTTCATTAATGAGCTTTTCTATTGTTGGGATTTTTTAATAATTTTTTGGCTGCTCTATATTATTTTATTGAAATTTCGAAGCATTGCAATTTATAGAATCATCTGTGCTAGTATATATGATTTGACTTATATATTAAATTCAAGTCTTCTTATAATGCGATACAATATCAATCAATTGAGCAAATAATAAAACAAGGAAAGATAATAGGGTATATGCCTAATTTGTATTTTAATGTCCGTCTGGTACATTATTTTAAATCATTAGACACGTAGGTATTTTTTTATTTTCTTACAGCAACGATATATATCGTCGAAAGTATTCGTTTATTTCAAATCAATATTGATTTGAAATGTCGCGTGACGTCATTTCTATGTACATTTTATACGTAGAAATGACGTTTTAGCCCCCACTCTTAAACTTTGATTCGTTTTATTTAAGTATTGTTTTATTATACGACAAAATAAAAAAATACGTGTTTAATATTTTTCATTAAGTACCTAACTTACGGACTAATTATATTTTAGTACCCAGTAGTTTAATTAGATTTTAATACCCTGTCATCATCCCAATTATGTTCACTTTCACATTTTTATAACTACGTTAACAATAATTTCATTATTAGCTAGAACTAGCTACTTCCGCGCGGTTTCACACGCTCTTCTCAACACCTATTGGTCGTAGCGTGATGTTTTATAGCCTATAGCCATCCTCGATAAATGCGCTATCCAACACAAAAAGAATTATTCAAATCAGACTTGTAGTTACGGAGATTAGCGCGTTCAAACAAACAAACAAACAAACAAACTCTTCCGCTTTATATAATAGTATAAGATATAAGATAAAAGTATAAGATACGTCCTCTACAGCGCAAAGACCACTCCCTATAAAACTTATTACAATAGTTCTTCAAACCCAACCTTGAAGAAAAAAGCACAAATAACTAAAAACAACTATGTACTAAGTTTTTAAAATTCTCAGTAGTAGCACGGAGTCTGGACTTGTGCCCGGTATATGGCAAAAGGCTCACCCCCTATTACATGGGACTCATGAAATAAATAGTGAAAAGTGGGTGTTACATTGTACATACAATGGCATAAAGTGCCGTAATGTACACCTCTGCATACCCCCTCGGAGATAAAAGGCGTGAGGTTATAAATAAGTATAAGTATAAATAACTCAAAACAAAAGTTGCATATCAAACAGCTCGTCTACACACAAAACCGCAATGAAGTTAAATCCACCGCTTAAACCGCGTAATTATTGCACGCTCGATCCGTCGGTTGAAACTAAAGTAATGTGTTTTGTACACGAAGCAAATGAACTAAAACCCGTTTTAGAAGCAAATTAAACATCACTATGTAATCCTGTGGTTGCTGTTGTAATAATTTCAACGGTGTAACGCCTACGTTCGTGGATTGTGGGTAGATTGAGTTAAATCGTTGCAAAATTTAGTGAAATCATGTTCTAATTCAATGTTATTGTGAACACGTGTTCTAGCGATTTTGGTGTATTAAACTGTATTTATAAGTGGAGCGTAATCAATAACAGTTTTTGGCTTACACTTAAAAATTATATACATTTTTCTTCAGAAAACATAGCTCAAAGAGCCATGAATTATTTGAATTTTTTAAAGATGAAATATTACAAAATAACGTTTTGACATAACAGTCGTGTTAAAATACTTGCTTTAAAATTGTGATTATACAAAAGTTAAATTTCAAAGAAATAGAAATATGGATCATAATATTATGAATAGCAATCACGTTACTCAGAAAACTATTTTTAGATAGATGGCATTTGTTTTTATCTTGCGATATTTATGCTGAATATGATTTACTCGCTCTTACTCAGTTAGTGAAAAAAAAATTCTAGGAGGTAGAATGAATAATGTTTTGTTTTCAATTCATTAACTAACATTAATTAACTTTCATTGCATATTAATAAAAGCTTATTTTATTCGCGTTCTATCAACCGCAATGTAATTTTGATTCAAAATATTTAAATAATAATTTTATTTGTATTTTCATAAACAAAGTAAAACTTTCTATACAAGTATTAGAACAGACTGCCTGAGGCTCAAAATGTTTTAAGTTCAAAAATATTTATGAGATTTTCTCAACTGTTTTACTTGAATAAATTAATTATGATAAATGAATGCTTTTGTTAACCTCAAAAATGTAAGTTTATACATTCAGGTTTTAGAATAAAAATGTATTATTCAGTCTATGAAGAATAATATCTATCATAAATGAAACTTGAAAAATAAATGTCTAAAGTCTCTGTGAGGTTATGTACGTATGTATGTGTCATCATCATCATTATCATCAACAGCCATAAATGCCCACTGTTGAGCCTAGCCTCTTCTCACACGGAGACGGTTTGAGCATTAATCACCACGCTTGCTCAATGCGGGTTGGCGATTACAAACTCACGATGTTTTTCCTTCACCGTTTGGCAGTGGTATCTAGATAATCTTACATTCAACAGATAGTTTACAATATATACCAATCTGGAAGTCTTTGGGGGAGGCCTATGTTCACCGTCTGTCGGTGATGTCAATCTTAGAAAGTACATATAACTCGGAAATAGTCACATTGGTACTTGCTGTTGGTAGGTTTCGAACCCGCGCCCTCATGCATGACAAGCGGGCGTCTTAAACTGTATGTGTACATAATCAGAATTATTTATTTGTTAAAAATAAGTAGTTTATATAATAAGGTCTTACATATTATATAAAGATGGAAATAGATTCAAATCAAAGAAAATGAATTAGAAAATCATACTATTTAGCGTTCAATGCGAAATGTTAAACAATTTTACTATTCATCACTGAGTAGAAAATAGTAGAAGAACGTCCAATAAATATACTTCTTCAAAGAAAACAGAAAAGAATCAACATAAAACTAGAAACTAACAATATTATTATAAAACCCTAACATAATATCACTACCAAGAACCTCGTCTGAACTAATTACAAATTCTAGTTAAATGCAGTTACCGCTAAAATAGTCAGTAAATTATTTAGTCACGCATTTATATCCATCACACGCCATCTTTAAACATGTAAAACAATGAAACAGACTTGAAGTGTAAATTACATAGCACATTTATCAGCTACGTCTCAGTCCGCCACAATAACACGGTTGACTTCATCTTCTAATAATTCCCTTTGTCTTGTTCCATGAGCGTTTGCCGTTTTTTCTTCTGGCTTAAGTATGGAACTTTTATCATGTGTGTGTGTTTGATTGATTGTCTTTACTTTCATTCGTCTTTGTGGTACGGTTTTTGTTATCATTACTTTGTATGTCTTTTCATGTGGCGTAGGAATGTTGACGTTCATTTGTTTTATGTTTAGAATTTTGTATATGTTTATGTATAATTGTACATATTTGAGATGTGATCATTGTAATTTATCTTATATTAAACTTTAATTGAGAAATTAAAGACGGCTATTTTTTTTATTAAATAAACGTTGCCCCACACTAGGATTTTCTCATGTGTCGTGGGTTCGTTTACAAACATATAAGTTCACATTCACATGACATCCAGACCCGAAACAAGAATCTGTGGATCACACAAAGAGTTGTTCCGTGCGGGAATCGAACCCGCAACACGTTGCGCGGCAGTCAGTTGCCCAACCACCGCGCCAACCATGCAGTCAATATTTAAGTTAGCTTTATCCAAGATTTGATAATTACTCTTGTTTTTAACCGATTTCAAAATAAAAATGGATGTTCTCGGTTTGATTTATATGTATGTTTGTTTGTGTGCCATTATCTCGCAATTGGGTGAACCGATTCTGATGTGGTTTACAGAAAAGTGTTTGTTTTGTTACACTTTAGAAAAGTTTTTAGTATAAACATTGACAGACTTCAAAAAAGAGGGGGTTAAAGTTGGTTTTCTAAACGTAGCTTATAAAAGAACCATAAGCCAGCAAGGAATCCTTTCATACTTTGGCCACACAGCCTGCA